ACACTCTGTGACTAATACTAAAAGTACAAAGCCACCAAGTTTCAAAGAAATGAAATAAACATCTTGGGAACATACGTATTTTTGTCAATCTGACTTGTTCAGGGTTTTGCAAGGATTGTCTGAACTCCTTTTGGTGTCTCTTGCAAAGTTGACAGTTAAGATAAATTTTCCTATTTTTTTCAAGGAAGTTCTGTGAAGAGATGAAAATCCCATTGAATAATTTAAGTTGTCAGCAAAGAGACTTACTTTAGATGTTTGTAGTGCCTCTTTTTAAAAAAAGCCAGTGAAAAATACTAAAATTTCCTTATCTGACATGATTTTCATAAGTTTGTATGGCAGCTCTTGTTTAAAAAAACAATTACTCCTTTGCTTAACCAAGATTCCCCCAAAATGAGTGGTTTATGACCTGAAGAATTATTGTGGTGTGTTCATGCATGACCAACATGTCAACAGGAAAACCTAAAGCTAGAGGCAGCTTTGCATTGCAGGGAAAACATTTGAGTAATTTCAACTGTCATCTTCTTAGGAAAGAGTAATTGAAGATACAGGTGAATACGTGATTTCTTTCAAAAACAGAATTAAAAAGAAATTGTATCCACATGTCTGCTGCATTTGAAAATCCCCTAGGAGCATGTGGAAAGTGCAGGTATGTACTGCAATAGTAAAATGCTGCAACAAAGGAACAGTGTATAATATTTTTCATGTGCCAATTACAGACAAGTTTTGAAGAGGAGATCAAGAAAATGTAATGCAACTTCAAATTGGGATTGTGCAAGCTTCCAAAACAGGACTTCTAAAGGGAAGAACAGGTATGGTTCTAAAAAAAAGTCAAACCTTCAAACAAAACCCAGAAGAGTTTAATACTTAGAGGGAAAAAAACAGTACTTGTAACAAACTCACTTTTCTATATGTGAGATCATTACTGAAGGAAAGGGTAGATATGGAAAGAACTGGGTGTTGGGATTGTTTTGTGTCCAGTGAGCTGTCAAGTTTAAGATAAAATTGTTGAATGGGTTTTTGTTTTAATTGAAGCTCAGTAATGTGGTTTGCTTTTGTGTCTCTGAAAGGTATAGGGAGAAAGTGCTTTTTCTTGTAAATTGTGATTCCTTTGACAGAATAATGGCTGATTTACTACTCTTGAGAAATATTCAGTGAGGTGGTGGTGGTGGTGTTCTAATAACCATCTTGAGTCATGGCTCTTTTTTTAAAAAGCATGAGTAAGTGCAGGCTTAGTTTGTTCACAGAGGCTTTACCACCAAAAAGAGGTGGTGAAGCTAACCAGGCTTTAGTGCAGTGTGCTCTGCCTTTCTCACTTCCCTATGGAAACATGGCATACGGGATCATTCTGCCGTTCAGCTTTAGAATACCTAATTAATTTCAACCAAATCTGGCAGATCTCACAGTCAAAACATTTTTAGAATTTTTCTAAGTGTGGAGATGAGTGATCAGAAGAAAACCGCATTCTGTACTGATATCCAGTAATCCAGATAAGGGAGAGACATAAGTTTCCAGGCATGAGACCAGCTTCAATTAGAGCTTGTACCTTAGACTCGCAGGTAATTAATCACAGGCATAAATCCATAGGAAAGCAGTCTTCATTTGTTCCTGTGTTCCTGGAACCATGTTTTTGAATAGATGCCTGGTACAAGGGTAAGGAGAAGTAGCAGACCTCCAGTGATCCTTTCAGATGAGTTATACAGAGACCTTGATTGGTTTGGGGGTTGGGTTTTTTTCTGGTTTGTGTGAAATCTGCTTCAAAAGCAAAAGTGCTGCTCATGAGAGTGGTATCCTGGCCTGCTGCAGTGAATATAGTCATACTGAAAGGCCATGTTTAAATCATTAAAAAATCATATTAGGCCTCTGTTTGCCTCGAGCTTAGCTTAAGTCAAAATGGGAGAGCACCAGACTCCTAAAACATGACCTCATTTGAGAAAGTAAGGGCCTTTTAATGAAAGTTTTTTGTCAAGAAAGACCTTATACAGGAGCTCAGCCCTCTGAATTCTTCACCCTGTGAGACAAGCATGGTTCCTCTAGTGTAAGGTGCAAGTTGCATGGAACATGTCACCAAGATGAACTAGTTTCCAGTTCCCTTACATGAATCCCACTGTTGACACAAGCAAAAAAAAAAAAAAAAAAAAAAAAAGACAAAACACTTTGCGAATAATCACCGTATTTTATGTAATTTCTATCAACTTCTCCAAACGTTAAACCATAAATCCAAAGTTCTAATGTGTGTATTCAAACAACTCCAGGTTCAGTTTTTTCATAGCTCTTGTCAGAGCACGTTTGAAACACAACTGCCCTTTCTAGAAGCACCCGCTGTAGAAGGCACGCGCACCCTTTTCTGTTGCACCGAACAAAAATTGGTGACAGAACAGCTGACCACATTAGGGCAATCACTTAAGAAAGAGTGGGGAGAGCAGGGTGTTGGTGTCTTTCTGGGAGGTCTGCTGGACAGGAGGAGAATGGCTGCACCAGAGGCTCAGGCATTGCGTTGCTCCCTGGAGTTGTAGAGAGGGAGGAATTGTCCAGGGCTGTGCCAGTGCTGTGAAGCTGCCCCAATGGGGGTCAAGTCTACAAAACCTAATCATTGCTCAAGTTATGAAGACACTTTGGTGGTGCTGGTGGTTCAGCTACCCCTGTATATCCTGTGTTAGACGTAAGGATTCCAGATCTGTCCCTTCTGCATCAGCTACCTTTGCCTATCCGTTGTCTATTCCTTGGAGATAATCCCTAGCATATGGCAGGGGTCGGTCCTGGTGCAATACTCCTGCTTGTCCCTGGCTGACTTGAGCAGACAGAAGAATCCTGAACATCTCCGAGTTACTCTTCCACTTAAGCCACAGTGTGTGTTGGGAAGGGAAAGGATACGGGCAGGGATTTTTGGTCCATTCCTCCCTCTCAGTGCTGACACTGATCTTCGTGCAGCAGATGGACCGTGGGGGTAGGGGTGTCACCCCTCAGCCATTCGGGGAGGCATCCTCCCCTCCAACACAGCCCCGGCAGCGTGTCAAAAAGGATTCATTAATGCCTCTTGCGGCAGCACTCGCTCCCCTTCTGTGCTCCATGACCCCCGGCAGCAAGGTCAGAGCACAGCTGTGGCCCGGGAATCGGTGGCACTGCACTGCAGGAGAGAGGTGGCCTGGAGACAGGGTCTCCTCACCCCCAGTGAGGGACTACGGGGTCAGCTCTGGCTTTCTGTGCCTCGCTGCCCTTCAGGTTGGGCCCTGCACCCTCCTACCCTGTCACAAGTGCCTGTCAGGAGACACAAGGACTAAAATATGTTGGACCTGAGGGTTTAAAAAAAAAAATCGGTTCTCTTTAGCTGAATAATCACAAAAAGCAGCTGATCTTTCATCAAAGTTGTAGTGTATCTCCACCAGCCAACTGCAAGTGTTTCTGTAGTATTTGTTAGACCGACCTAGAACCTTTGTGTGCTTTTGGTCTGTGCTCCCCTTCAGTGTAGGAAGGTGTCTGTGTAAACGTTTGAGTTTAGTTTGTTTTTATTGTCCTATAGATTGATCTAAACCCTTCTCTCAGAGAGCTGAGTAGCTTTTTGGGGATGCATCAGGCAACCAACCCGTGGCAGGGTTTGACAAAAGTCTCAAAATCTGTCTTTACAAATACTTCGTCAGATTTTGAAATCTGGTTTGTACAAACACTTGTGCCAGTGTAACTTGATTACGCAAATGCCCGGGGAAAGCAAATACGAGGTTTGAGCATGGCCAAACCCACCCCATCTTTGAAGGGGAAAAAAAAAAAAAAGAGTGAATATTCATGGAAGAATTGTGCAATGTTTGACGTAGCACTAGGGCTGGTGCGTGCCTCGTTTCCCAACAGCCCTGGCACCGGGAGTTGTAGGAACGCTGCTTTACGGAGGCCCTGGGGCGTGCCTTTTGCTGAAATTTTGGCAATTTTGGTCACAGACGAGCTGTGAGTTCACACCAAAAAAAATAATACAAAAAATTTAAAAAGAAAAAAAAAGAAAGAGGAGGTGGTTGTGCGCTTGTGTCCGGGCTGGCCAGTGCCCCCGCTGTGGTTTCCAGCCTAAGGCGCGGTTCGGTGCCCGGCCCGGCCGCCCCCGCCGGTGCGGGCGGGGCCGCCCCCGGAGCGCCGCGCTGGGGCCGCGGGACTCGGCGGCGCCCGGCTCCCCATTGGCCGAACCGGGTATTCGGCCCCGCCCTCCGCGGCTCTCCCCGCGTTCTCATTGGGAGGTGCCGCGGGCCCAGCCGTAGTCCCGCCTCTCGCTGCTCGCCGTCCAGTCAGAAAATGGTTGCCGGGCAGGTTGAATGGGCCGCCGGCCAATGGGAGGGCGGCCAGCTGGCGGGCGCGGCGCACGCAGCCCCCCCCTCCTCACCCCCCCAGCGCCGCGGGCGGAGGGAAGGGCGGAGCGGAGGCTGCCGGGGCCCGGCGGGGGTGGCGCTGCCTCCGCCTCCTCCCGCGCCGTGTCCCAGCCCCGCCGAAGGGAGGGAGCCCGGCCGGCTGCGAACGAACGGGGGGTTCCTCCGCTCCCAGGTGGGGCGCCGGGCACGGCCGGGGCGGGAGGGCGCGGGGCTGCGGGCAGGGGGCAGGGGGAGGGCAGCGGGGGGACGAGCGAGCGGCCGAGGCGGGAGCCCCGACGGGGCGGGGGGGGCCCTGGCGGGGAGGGGGGTCAGGGCGCGGGGGGACAGGAGGGGACAGCGCGGAGGGAGAAGGGGACAGCGGGGACAGGTGGAGGGGTGTCGGGCCCCAGGGAACCGGGCTGGGCGAGGAGGGTACGGCGGGACCGCGGTGCGGGCACTGCGGCCCCGGGGGAGCCGCGCCGGGCGCGGGGGGAGCGCCCCGAGCGCGGCCGGCGGTGGAAGTTGTTCGCGCAGTTATAATTAGCCCGGCCGGGGTCTGTGCGGGCCGGGAGGAGGAAGGGGGAGGAGTGTAACTTTTCGCAGCTCGGGAAGCCCAAGGTTGTCTCTGGTTACCGCTGCCCACGGCCGCGGGAGGGGCGGGGAGGGGGGGAGGACGGGCGGCCGCAGGAAGCACCGACGCTCCTTCCACAAAGGCCAAATGGTGGCAGGAGCCCGCGGGAGGGCGGCAGGAAAGGGCTTTCCCCTGGATCCCCGGCGTGTCCATTCCGGCACCCCCGAGCGCTGCCGCTCGGTAGTTGCGACTTGTGTGTCTGCTGCAGTTACGTTTTTTAATAGCAGGTTTTTGTTTGGCTCAGTAAAACGTGTGTCAGTCCGGGCTGCGAGCAGGTGGATAGGTCTGGGGGGGAATAAGCTCGGTCTCCTTTATGCGTTTTGTAGATTAATCTCGCTAATAGATGCAGTTAATAATTTCTGCCCTAGTTAGGCCTGGAATTTTTCAAACTATGTTGGAACAGCTCGTTTCCAAAAACATAGGTAGTCTTCTGCTTTATTTTTGATGTGGCTAAAATTCTGTAGTTCAGGCATCTAACTGCAATGTGGAAAATACCATTAACATTGAAATGAACGGTATAATCTCAAAATTCTAAAGTGACCCCTAAACAGGTACTAGGAAGGGAAGACAGGGGAAAAAATTCATTTACTAGAGATATAATTCATACTGATTTACAGCTATTGTGTGTCTTCTATAGTTGTTTTTTTTTTGCCTAACAAATTGGAAAAACTAAACCTAATAACCTTTTCTCTGTACTTCTTCCTGACACTCATCCCAGTCTGAAATCATACAGGGAAGAAGTCATAACCTCAACAGTTACTGTTGCAGGAGTCCTTTAAGTATATAATAAAGGAATTAAATTTGATAACTTCTTGACTTCAGCTCCTTCTAGCAAAAGATTGGACTTCTCAAATCCAACAAACAGTACTGCTTCAGGCTTTTTTTTTTTTTTAGCTAAGGTGCTAAGGTCTAAAACTTTCCAACATTTTAATTTGCTTATTAGCTTTTTTAGGATTCTTTAATGCTAAATACTTCACATTCTAAAACATGTTCTTTTATATTCAGTATGTAGAAAATGCAGTGACTGCACACCTCTCCCTGTGACCTAACAAGTGCACTTTAATGAACCTCAATAGTGACCTTCTGATGTCCTGCTGTTTCAGAGCAAATAGGTTATGAATCTTCATTTGTCTCTTTGTTTGGGGCTTTTTTAATTTACAAATAGCATGGATTTCTTTATAATGGGAAAGAAGTCAGCTTCGAGGAGGAGGAGGAGGAGGGAGATGTTAATGTGTTTGTTGCTGTGGGTTAGATTTGGCTTTCTTAGGTCACCGGCATTTTACTGCTGTTTTACTGCATCTTTACAGTTCCGAGGTTCTGTAAGCGGAGGAGCCCTTTGGTAGCATCAGGCTATGAGTTGCTATGTAAGATGAACTGTAGGCGTTTACTTGCCCATCTGTCTCAATGTAAGACTGCCTTTCACTATGTATTATTTTCAGATTTGTGAAATAATGTATGAACTCTTGATTTTTGATCGTGAAGGACTGTGTTGACCTGGATAGTACTGATCCTTGCTCTTGTGGTACGTTTGTGGTTTGCTGTAGATGGGGTCAGGTGTCTGTGTGTGTGTTGTGCACAAACAGGCATGTTAGGTCCAATCCTGGCTCTAGGCTGTTAGCCTATGTAAGGGCTTTAATTCTTGGAATTAGTAACTGTTTAATTCTTCAGGTGGAGGTGAGACCCCAAGAGCATGGATCATGCGATTCCCTCCACATCTCCTAGCCTAGTCCATAGTTTGCTGTCACTTCAGCCCTTTCACATTTCCCAGAGTTTCCAACGCCTTGAGCTAGTCCATGATTTAATCCATGTGGTCTCTAGTCAAACTGCAGATGTTGCTTTATCAGGGTTTTGATGGAAATGATGCCACACTGAATATTAGATGCAATCATAGGATATCTTGCCAGCTATCTTCTCATACTGGTTTTGTTTATGCTGAAAATGAGGAAAGTTAGGGAATTTAATAAAAATCTAACTGCTTTTGCAGCCTGTAAGTGTTAGAGGATAATTCTGAAATGTAGTTCTTCACAGTGCATGGTATTATCTCCTGATTATCTGAGTCTGGAGATGATTGCAAATGTAAACTGGCATTCAGTAACCTGAAGAAGTATCAGTGCAAGATTTTATCCTAAAGCCTAACACTTAGAGGATCAGCATTCTGTAGTACTCCTTTATGAAAGATAATTTCCACATTTCATGTGTTCATAGGTGAAACTGTTAGGTTCCTCTTATTTCAGTGTATTCATGAACTTCAGTTTTTCTTGCTCACGTTTATCTGTTTTAATAGGATTTAGCACAAATCATTTAAAAAGTTGTATTGAATTGTGTGCTCAATGCTTCTTGTTTAAAAAAATAAAACCACCACACAGTAATGAAACACCCTGGTTTTGTTTTCTTTTTCCTCTTAAGTCACATCATCCTACCTCGGTGGATGGCTTGGCCTCTTTGGTAGTTCAAGACTCTTGGATGACCACGCTTTATGCAAAATCCGGAATCTTCCTGCCTGGACTCCTTTCCGTTTTCTGAGGGTAACTACTTGTATGTTTTTATGAAATTGTATCTTATGTGCATAGAGCACATTCTGATAATTGGCTGCAGATGTTGTTTGTGGGTTAGAATGGTAAACTGAAAAATATCTTTTAAAAACAGGGTATAGAATATAAAGTGAAGTGCTTAGACTTAGTGAATCATATAAGCTCTCTGGTTTGAGTGTTCTGAATTTGCACTACTGCTTTTTTCTTTTTCCATTATAATGAGGAATTATTATAATTCAGCAAAGCATATTGCCAGAAGATCACATTTTTCTTGGAAATTTGTTAACTAAGGCCTCAATCTCCCAGTGAGATCCACTGTTCAGCTGCTAAAATTGAGTGTTACGATCGTGTCTTGTGAGAAGGCAGCACTTTGGATGCTGATGTAAAGTTGTGTGTTACGAGAGAAAGTTCAAAGTGATGTCTGAAAATTATGTACCTAAATACCCCATACAGACAGCTAGAGTAAAGGCATGGTCCTCTATCAGGAAAAGAGCCTTTTTTTCTTGGTTGCTTTTACTGTTAATTGTCCATTTTTTCTGGTATAGTATAGGCATGCCAATTTTTACACTTAATAAGGTGTAACTTCCTTTATTAGTGGATCTTTTAGATCACTGTAACCTTAAAATATGTCAGTATTACGTAGGTGAATGCATCCAGTATCTCTGTATTTGAAGTAAAGAGATACTGTAAACAAAACAGATTGAGAACTGTTCAGTTGACTGGAACAGTTGAAGAGGGATGTCATCACACTTGCAGTTCTAATGATCCTTTGCCTCTCCAGTGGGATGCTTTGGTGGAATGGTGGTGATTCAGTTCTCGTTGCTTCCTCTGTGATTCCTTTATGTTCTCACTTAATTACAGTTTAGTTTTGCTATGGGAGATTCTAGGTTTGGTAAGTCTTGATCATGTATTAGCTTTTGCCAACTACTATTGCTCCTTAGTTTAAATGATTCCAGGCTCTTCTTCTTCTAAAAGAAAAAAGAAGTCCACCCAGAATCCCTGGGAAAAAAAGTCTGCTAAACACACTCTCATTAAAATGTACACCTGTGACCTTTATTTGTAGATGTGGAATGAGACGCACAAGTGACAGGGAAGAGTGACAGTGATTTAGTTTGTTTTCTTTTAAGGATGGAAGTTTCTCTACCCAACACTGGTACTCCCTCAGCAGCTCTCTCTCAGCCTCCAGTGTCAGATATCAGCTGCTGAGAATATGGTTCATCTACTGTTGCAAACAGCCTGGATCCACTCGTTTTAGCTGTGGAAGGTACACATCCTAACAGAGGAATTCCTTCTCCAGAGGAAACTTCTATGCTCTGAAACTTAGTTGCCACAGTTGGTAAAGCAAAGTTCTTACCAGTGCTTTATGTAATAAAATGGGAGTAAGGAACTCAGGAAGATGTCCTTAGGAATTTTCCAGATCTCATTAGACATAACAAACAGATTGTGTGGTTTCAAACAGATTGGAGGTTTCAAACTAACGTTGAAATCAAGGTAAAACTTACTACAAAGTGCTTCATAAACCTCATTTCAGCTCCTAAAATATTTGTGTATGATACAGGTTTATTCTCTACTTCCACAAATAGTGAGTGACACTGGGAACGTTATGAATTCCAGATTAATTCTGTGCTAAACTCGATCTTCTTCTCATTCCTTTTCTATACTTAATGAATGTTATTCAGCCTACTCTTATTTTCAAAATGTGGGGAAAATCCTTGGGTGTGGGGGTTTTTCTGTTTTGTTTTCAGGGTTGGTGTGTGTTTGTTTGGTTTTGGGTTTGTATATTGGTTTTGTTGGGATTTCTTGAGTCTGAACAGTAGCATATCTTGCTTCTGTGTTTCAGTTGCTTTACTGGTAACAGACATGGGTGTATTATAGGTCAGGATTTGTTGATCAAGAAGTTGACATTAATTCTCCTCTCTTTGAGCAGCTATTTTCTGGTCATTTCTAACTCCTGTGAAGAAGTTGTTGCATAGGAGTTTTGGTATGGGAGTAAGGTGGTAGGACTGCACTCCTCCCTGTATGCACACTTTTAGTCACTTGTGCCTTCTCCAGCAGTTACTCATCCTGGCTAAACTGGGGCAGGGCTGAGGGGGGTGGGGAGGCAGTGGACTTGAATACATTTTCATATATTTGAAAGTTGTCTCCAGGCCCAAATTACTTTTTAGTTTGGGTGTTTTCTAAGGTGTTTAAATCCTCCTTCCCTCGCTTCCTCTGAATTTTTGCTAGCAGCCAAGATGTGATGTTGTGGGGACCTCCAGCACTTGCTGAGGACACCAGATCAGATGCACTGTTCTGTGTGGTCTGACAGCTTACTGTGTTACGTAAGTCATGTTCAAGTGATCAGTGCTAAGTCCGGATGGGAGGAAGGGATTTGTGCTCTGTCTGTTCGCTGTACCTTCAGCCTTCCCATTTTCTTGTGCAGCTGGATATTCGTGGATATACGTGGATAAATATGGTATACGAGTCAATAGCCAGTCCGCCACTTAATTAAAATTATTCATGAAGTTGCGTTGCCTAAGCTAAGATGTGTGTCAGGTAGGGGAAGGGTTATCCTTAAAAACAGTATGCAGCATACATCAAATAATTCTGGGAAGTAACCGTAACTGTTGGGATGTTTGTCTTCCTTTGCACTTCCTGCAGATAGATGTGTGCTTGTGAGATGTGTCCGTGGAAGAGAGGGCAGAGCAGGACGTCAGGTTATCAGCCAGCCTGGGTCAGCCACTAACACAAGTCTACAATCCAGAGAGACTTCTACCTGTGTTTACTGTTACATGGCTTCTACAGTTATGAGACAAAGGAGACTTTGAAAGGGAATTGACCAAATTACAACAGCAAGGAGTCTCTAATTTTGATTTTAATACATAAGTTGCGTTACTAAAAACTAGACAGGCAGCTTTCACTCACGAGGTGCTTACATCTCTGCAGAGCTGGTATTTCTGTCCCACGAGAAAAAGTAATATTTCACTTTGAGACAGTCTTGGGCTGAAAAATGAAACAATGTGGCTGCATGGAAAGGGTCAAGCAAGTCTGAATTTAGTAGTGTTCTAAAAAGAAAAGCCAAAAGGGACCACTATCAATTAAATTATTTTTATCTGTATGGTGAAGGCCAGGTACTTTATTGAAGATCTTGCTATTTGAACATATTATTTAATGGTAAAGTAATAACTCCTGTGTAGTTGACTACAGTGCTTGTTTTGTGCGTGGAAAGTTCATGTTCACACAATACTAACCATGGCAGTCATGTTTTATATACTCATTATTTTTGAAGCTTTTCTCTGCTGAAAATTTAAGCTGTGTGAGGTTCTGAGTTCTAAACATTGTTTAACTTGCTCTTCAGTTCTTCCTCATCTTCCAAAAAAGTTTTTAAGTAGTAGTTTGTTCAGACAGAAGTAATGGAAGGTTTTCACGTTTCGTTATTCCTTGAGACTGTTTCCAGCTGTACTTTCCAACCATGTGCCAGTGGCAGCTGTGCTGCGCTATCAGACCCTGTGACAGATGGAGCTGAAATGGTGGCACGAGCCCTGTATTGTCCACGGCACGTCGCAATGTGAATTTTTCTTGGTAGCGTGGAATGTTTCTTCTGAGAAGCTGCACCCTGGCCAGGCCTGTTTGTTTGGTATTCTGCGTGGATTTGCCAACCAGGGACGTGCCTCTTCCCTCCCAAGTTTTTTCAAACCCCGGTGCGGTGTAGGATTACAGGGCATGGATGCTTCTTCCCATCTTAGCAGGGCGGAGTTTCTATGAAATGTCCTCCATGGAGGACTGGAAGAAACTGAGGAATATGCTGTCAGGGACAGAATTTCTACATACAGGCTCCACTGTAGTTCAGTAATGTGAATAGAGAGTTTGGTACTCCTAAATATTGAGTTCACTCTGCGTCCTTTTCTCTGTATCTGCAAGAAAATTTTAATTAAAAAAGCATTCTGCCATAAATGGCCTGTGGCTCAGTTTGCATTACAATAATCAGAGAAGATGAGAAAATTCCAGAAAAAAAGTTATTGAGATGTGTTGTTCCTCATTGTTCTGTTTTTTTTTCACGACAAAAGATTCTAAAATAGATCATCTGAACTCAAAAGAAAATTTGGTTGTGGAACTTTTTCAGGCTTCAAGAAAAGGGTGACTTGCAGCTTGCTGCTTTTATAATTGAACAGCAATGTACAGACCTCACATTTGAAGTTGGCATAAACTTTTAATTTTTGTTCATTTTATTTACTTACAAATTACAGAGTTATCAGATTGGCACGTTCCAAAATCCTGTTACTTGATCCATTTTTTTTTTTGAGATCGGAGTAGGTTCCAGGAATTGGGCTGGAGTAAGGAAGAGTGCAGTTTCTACAGACTCTTTGTACTTTGGTGTGCCCAGATTGTGCTGCTGTGAACTGGCTGTGCTGTTGTGTCAGCTGATGGAAGGGCTGACACTGTGCAGCAGCCGCTCGTGCTCTGGGCATGGCAGTGTGGGGTTGTGTGTGTTTGCTCTCCTTACTACCCAAAATTGAAGTGGGGTGAGCGTTGCATAACTAAATAATGTGATCAGCATCTTCTGTTGCAAAGTAATGCTGTCAAAGAGAGCATTTGAGAGCATGAATTTTGGGATTGGGATGTGATGTCTGCACAGTGCTACAAAAGGACAAGCTGCTTAAAAAATACGGAGTAGTTTGTTAAGGATCTGACCCTGTCAAAAATTCTTGTGTTAGAAAGTAAAGCAAAAGGCCTGATAAAATGTAGATTAGCTGGTAACAAAGGGGCTTTGTGTCTTTTGTAGGTCAGCAGCTGAGTGTGTTTGACAAGAACTGAAATTTAATGTCTCCTGTAGCAACGATGGCACTAGTCATTTTTAAATCCACTGTACCAATGGTACTCTGGTTTTTATTAGCCTTTTCCAAATTTTTGTGCAGCCTCTGAAGTCATCTAGCTCCTGGAGGGAAAGTTAGGGATCCTTGCAATTAGGAAAAAATCATGTTAAACAGACAGAAATTTTATACATAAGGTAGTGTCATGTTTGTGTATTTCAAAAAAAAACATCTTTGACATCTAGAGAGTGGGGAGTATGTTAAGTAGAAACATTTTGAAGTTGGAGCAAATTATGTTTCTTGCACTTCATTTTTCTGGCCGAGTGCTGTCAACTCAAGCATTGTTACATATTTCTAGAATGCTCTGAGACAAATTTTATGAAGGAAATTTGAGCAATGAAAAGAAGGGTGTCTGCCTATATGAGCATGAAGTATTTAGTCTAACTAGGCTACTGTTTGAATTGAAAAGTCAAACGTCATTTTAAGTTGTTTTTGTGTAATTATACATCCTTGCATATGCTAGTTTGCTTGCTCTTTAAGCTTGCTTACAGAATTTAAATACTAGCACGTTTTTGAGATGTAAGAAATTAACATTATTTATATAATTCAAATAGATAAAAATAGTATGTCCTGTGTGTTAAACAAAGCATAAATATATATTTTTTTAGAAATATTAAAAGCAGTAAATTATCAAATCCAAGCATTCTGAATGTATGAAATGTCAGAATTACTGTTTCCTATATGACTGTAATTTCGTTCCCTTATGAGTGTGAATTTTGGTTTGCTTTAATTAATGGAGAGGAAAAAAAAAAACCCTAGTATGCAGTGTATGTGAACAATGGTACTTAGTGAATAAATAGCTATCTTATAGTAATGTTATGAGATAGTGCTTTAGGTAGTGCAGAACATTTAAATGCTACTTAAAATGGAGAGTTAACAATTTTATTGTGAGTTTTCTATGATTTGCAGGCACTGATTTTTTCATGATGAAGGTTGGCATATTTAGCAACAGTTAACTTGTCCTGCGTAATTGTGATTTTCCATAGATTGTGTCAAAAATTATCAGTTACTGACAGTGTTGTCAGTAGTTTGAGGATGCCTGACACACACACTGATTCCCCCGAATACTTTGTTATTATATTTGGTGCCTGAACTTTGTATCCAGATTTCTTCTGATTTTGTTTGTCATGGAGTGCTTAGTACTGGCTGGTTCTGTCTGCTCTAAATGGGGTGCTGGAATGAGGGAGCGATACGTGATCAGTGTGGGAAGATGACCTGGGTGAACAGGCACACCACATCCAGACACCTTCTGGTTTTTAAAGAGATTCAGCTGGTACTGTGGCAGTTTAGCAGAAAACTTCAGAAAAAAAACCAGACTTCCAAAGTTTAAAAGCACAGCACTGGTAAAATTACGAGTAATTAAAGGTGAGGTTTTGTTGTTGTTGTTTTTGTTTCAAGAGTGCAGGTATTAGTGAACTTAAAATAGGCCTGTTAAGTAGAAATGCATTCTCAGGAAAAGTTGAATTTCATCCAGGTATGTCCCTTAAAAAAAAAAAAAAAGAAGTGTACAATTTAGAAGTCTCAAACCTAAACTCCTGTGGCAGCTGTCTGGTTTCTCTTGTGTGTTACTGAGGAGGAGGCACTGCTTGCTTGCTTTTCTGTTCCTGCAGAGGAGCTGAGTTCTCCAACAGCCTTGTCGAGGCAGATGGATGCAGCCACGGAGCCCTGCAGTGCTTCCTGCAAATCTGGAGAAATCCTGAAAGTAAAAGAGGCTTTATCCTGCTGCCTTCTCCTTGTCCCCAAAAGTCTAGCAACAGGCTAGCAGCTGGCAGCTGCGGCCATCAGCTGAGCTGTTGCTGGCAGTAGCCAGTGCTCACATGAAAAGGAAGTTGGGAGGCCCTCGGCAGCGTGCAGGGTCTGGATCATTGTGTATGAAGGATCTGCCCTTAATCTGCCACTGGGTGTCTAATTTATGATTGCTTAATTTTTTTAAATTGTTTGGCAGTGAGGTGTCAGCATTGTGTGTAACCAAGATTTTACCAGTGTTTCCTGTGCACGGTATACATCTTTTTCTGTGTTCTATACAAGTCATTGCATAGTGCTTGTTGTCTCTAATGAAACACTTTAGATTTGGAATGGTAATTGCAAAGTACACGAGCAGATATTTGTTTGGATTGCTTGTATTTTAGGGGGGTGTGAGTGTACAGTTTTTTGTACCACAGTGTTCTAGACCCACCGTATTTCAATGCAAGAGCACACAAAGCAGACTGAAAGCAACTAAATTCTATTTCTTTTCTTTGGTTTACCAAAATTGGTTACTTTTAAAATGTCATTTGATAGCCTCCTCCCTAATGTCCTTAGTGTGAAGTCAGTAGCAGTTTGTGAACCAGCAGCTGTGAGCACTGATTGTCGCTCTGTGAGCTCAGTGGCTCAGCCAGATTCCTTACACCATTTAGCCAAACTACTCAGCTATGGAATGGATATAAGGATCCCATGGGAGGCCCTGCTATTGGTCTTGCTGGGTGGTTCAACTATAGTCAAACAACTTTAAGTCACCAAAGAAAAAGAAGAAAAATTAGTTCTATGGAGAGTTCTCAAGAGACACTGAGCAAGACATCACAAATACCTTAATGACATAAAAATAGGTGTTGAAAACCATCTTTGAAATATTAACTACTATACCTAGGAACAAATATTAAAATGAAAATGGTGAAATATTCTGTATAGTTGTTATGATGCGTAGTGTAAGCATCTGTTTTATTTCACATAGACATTCAGATATTTCTCATTTATGAATTTTTGTACACTATATAATTTAAATGGATAGGAGGCCAAAAGCTCACCTATTAAAGATTTTAAATTATTAAATTCATATTCTCATAGTGGAATTAAAAGTAAACCTTAAACACAAAACTTAGAGGTATATAGCTTTTTAAAAAAAGAATTACTCTATTTCTTCCATATTTTCTGTTTAAAAAGAAAAAGTTGCTGTGAAACAATATAGCTGGAAGGTGCATCTTTTCCATGGAAGTAGTACTGAGTAGGATTTCATTCTGTCTCTTGATGTTGTATAACATCAGAGTCTTAAGTTAACCAATACAGGGGTTTCAGAATTGTCTGTAGAGGTGATAATCTTGCCCAAGGTTAACTCACAATTTCTCTCTTCCAGGTTCATGTTGGGGAGAGGTCTAAAGCGCAAACTGAGTGACTATGAGGAGAACATGGCTGGTCTCTCGAGTGCCTTTGATTCCAGTCGAAGTCTGCCCTATCCACTTAAGAGGCAGTTGGTGCTCAACATGTGCCTCACCAAGTTACAGACGTACAAAATGCTGGTGGAACCGAACTTGCACCGCTCTGTCCTCATCGCCAACACCGTGCGGCAAATTCAAGAGGAAATGAGACAAGAGAGTAACCAGCAGCCAGTTAACATCTGCCCTGGCATTGCTCCTAGTTCTCACAGCTACCCAGGGATGGAGTCATCTGGGATTTCTCTTCAGTTGCCTTCAGGTATTAGTCAGCAAGAGTCCAACTGTTGCGACTTGCGGTCTGTCGAAGACCCGATTGAAAACAGCCTGCTGATAGTTTCAGATGATGACATGTCGTCTGCCATTTCATCTATTCTGAAGGATTTAGACTTTGTAGAAGATATAAGCCCTCCTACTTGTCTGGTTCCTACTGGAGATGACCAGCCAAAGTTTCCAGAGAATACTGGTCTGAAACTAGAAGATGATAGGCAGGATTTGAAGGGAGCTGAATGTGTATTTGGTTCCTTTGAGATTTCAAATTCAACTAGTTACTTGAAGGATTTGGCAATAGATGACATTTTCGAAGATATTGACACTTCAATGTATGATTCAGACTTCTGTTGCCCTCCACTAATGCCGCCCAGATCACCATCTCTTGCTACAGAAGAACCATTGAAAACCTTTCCATCTTGTAATTCTTCTTCAGCAAGCAACATTCAGATATGTAGAACAGATCTCAGTGAGCTGGACCACATCATGGAAATTCTGGTTGGATCCTGATACTTGTTTTACCCAAAGATACTTTTTAACTGCCACTTTCATTTGGTTTCAGGATAAAAGCCACTGGAAAAGTTGTAAAGAGTTCTTTAAGACAAAAACTAAATAACAATTTGTCTGTACTAGAATTTTCTAAATAATTCCAAAACTTAAAAACCAAAAAAGTGGCAGATTTTTTTAAAAAAAGAAATATTTATTTATCAGAACTGTGCAATCATCATTTTCCTTCCAGGGTGTATGTGGAACAATAGGCACATACCCTCATCACCCCTCATGCCTCTTTCAATAAACTTTTTTATGTGCAATTTTTAATTTGACAGAAGAATTTACATGCAAAGCAAATTTCATATGAGATGATCTTTTACAAAGCCTCCACTTTATTTTTAATATCAGAGTCTATGCCAAGTTGGCATCCGTCAAGTTGCAGAGTTAGATCGTGTGGATTGCAGACACATTACTAGAGATGGGTATATTTTAAAAATGAGACACGCTTTGCTTTCTTTTGGTCAGAAAAGCAGATCAAGATACTTACCAGCAAAGTCTCTTGCATTTTCTAAAGCATTCAGAACTATTTATTTTTGTAAATTTTATAGTCTTTCTACATTTTACTACGTTATTTCATCATAGTTCAAATATAATGGACTTATAGTTGGATGTGTTTAGCACTACCTCTGAGCTGAAATGCTTTAACTCTTTCCAGTGCTTCATCTAAGACTGCAGATCTTTTTGTTTCCTTTTTTTTTTTCCTGGGGGAAAGTACTTCTAACTCATTAAGCTGATCCTTTGACAGTGACCTAGCTGATTTGTGAAATCAAGGGTATTCAATGTTTAAAAACTTTTAAGTATTTACAAGTGTAATTTATATGTAGATTGTGAAATTTAACATTTTTCTGTCAGTATTATGTGCTTAGATTTTGAATAATCTTGGCGTTCTTTAAATTAAAACTTACTATGTACAGGTAGCTTTTTATTCTGTTTTGGAAAACACTGTCCTCCAACCCTGCTTTCACTACAATGTTTTAAGATGATTTTTATGTGCAATATTATTTAAAAAGATACACATTTGTATACCTGGCATTGCGGGAAGGAACGCTTCAAACTTAAAAACCTCTAGCACCTTTGGAGGATACTCAGAGAGTCAACCATTTCTGTGTCCTTTAAGAAACAAAGCTGAGAACACTTGTTGCGACACTGCTCTGAGTGCTCCTGGAACACCCGTGGGTGAGTCAGTGCCGATGACTCAGTCCTGCCGTGCAGCTGTGTCCGGGAGAGCTCCGGGTCTGACCACCGCAGGGATGCGGCGCCGGGGCCACCTGGGCCTTGGAACCATCCGTGCTGCTGCCCCAGACTGTGCTGGGGAAAGAGGGGCACGTGTGGCAGGTGTGTGAATAAGGATATATAAACACACTCATTAGCTGAAGACGAGATTTGCAGTGAGAACTGTTTTTCCATGAGACAGTTTGGATACTGTGTCTCAGCCTGAACTGAGGTCTATGTCCATCCCTGCTACCGTCTTCTGAATTACACACTTGCACATTACTTTTTGGTTTGGTTTTTTTTTTTCTCCTTGGTTTTTTTAAGTGATAAAACTTTTACTTTCTTCTTGAAAGCTGCAGCACCTGTCTTGAAAATTTGCAGTTGTAAAAGCTTTGCTTTGATTTGTTTGTATTTTTGGGGTTTTTGTTGTTCTGCTGAGACTTTTCACGAACTGAGCATCGGCAGAGGAAAAAAATGTTGCCTCTATGTTGCATCTCACAGAAGTTGAAATCCTGGCCCTACTGAAGGGGCCAGGGTGTCACCTGGTATTTCTAGTCTTAACTGATGCTGTGGCACACCTACCTTGTGCAAAGATCTCCCTTTTTTACTGTGACTCTCTTGGTTAACAGTTAGCTGCCGATATAATTTGGTATCCCAAGCCAGTGGAGAACCATTTCAGGTCACATCCTTTGCAGCCATCTGGGTTGTTTAGCAACCGAAGGGTATAAATGTATTTATATGCATATATTGTATTGATTCTAATATAAAACTTCTGATCTAAAGTATTTTGAATTGCTGGATAAAGGGATTTGTTTGAAGAGTGTATAAATAGTTCTTGAAGAGGTACAGCTTCAGAATGTACACAGATTGTGCATTGTGTATAGACTACTCTGGCTTTTCCTCAGCCTCTTACTTTTGTATTAAAAATATGACTGAATAAATCCTTGAAATATTAAGGGCCTTCTGCACTGTGATGAAACAGAGTTGTGGTTAAAAAAGTCTTTAAATTCAGTGATGAGGGATAAAATAAAAAGACTGCATCTAATTTCTTTTTGCATTTAAAAATATGGAGTGTTACTATGCAGTAAAGATATTTTGGTATGAAAATCGTATCATGTAGCAAATAGTGAACACTTAATAAATCCACTTACCTTGCAGCACCTACTGAAACAGAACAGAAGAAAACTCACTTTTCAACATTTACATACTAAAGGTTTTTGTATACTGCAGAGAAAGATTAAACTGTTGGTAAATGTTTTATCAACAATTCAAAATGCAATTTTTGTTCAAGTCCTTGCTACAAAGCTCTGTTTCTAATTGGTTGCTTGTGTCACAGTGCCAAGACCATGAGCTGGTGTGTAATGCAGTTCGGTTATGTATGGAATTATGTGCAAAGGGAAGTTTAATTTTTAAATATGCACAAACTAATTTTAAAATCCTTCCATGTAAAATGAAGTTAGAGGCTAGTTGTGGTGGACCTATTTATTGTATGTTTGGAAATAAAAGCCACAGTTTTGCAGTTTAACCGTTTATATTTTGAAGACTTGGTATTTGACTGTTTTAAAAACAAAACAAGTGTTGCACCTTGCTACCCTTTTTTTGGTCTCCCATTCACAACTATCTAACATTTTCTCTAGGATTTTGTATCTTTTTGCCTCTTCCTGCCCTTTCTCCCCAGAAATTATGAACCTCTATGGAAATCACATGTGCCAGGCACCATAACAGGGTTCCACTTGAGGTTTCTACATAACCTGAAGGATAAGGATTCCCTTAGGGAAGCACCACAGCTCAAGCTGGGTGCCTCCAAAGACGGAGCCTGAACACTGAAATTCCTGGGCAGTTATACCTATACAATAATAATGATTCAGACCAATGAAAATATTAAGGTCTGGGGTCTTCATGCTTTTTACTGATTTGGTGGGTTTTGGTGTTTCAGTGCTAAGTGGCCCTTGTCTTGCACAGCATTGCACCCTCCCGGCCTGCTTTGCCCAAGTCTGTAGTTTGGAATTTGTCATGTTCTAATAACATTGTTACAGTAGGCTTTGTGTACTTTAGCTATTAATATTTAAGTCCTGCTTTGTCTGCTCTGGCTGTTATTAGCTCTGAGTTTTGACTAACTCCTTCACCATCGGGTCCTCTTTGTGCATCCCCACCAAACAGGGGATGGCCCACAGAGTGTTTTTATGATCAATGGAGCAGGAGGGGGGATTCTGTTGGGAGCAGATGACACGTTTTTAGCACTTAGCTGTCCCCTGGGTTTTGTCTCCACTGCCCTGTGTAGTCTTCCCAGCCCCTGCAGTTCTTAGTGTCCCCTCAGGGGTTGCCAAGCTTGAAAGCAAGTGTCAGATACGAGTGTCCTTGATGCACATACTGTTGACACTTAAACCTTGTGTGCTTGTCAGGCTGGGACAAAAACCCTGCCACTCTGGGCTAGCGAAAGGCTGTGTGTACAAATTAAACCAGCGGCTCCAGGTTTAAAGGTTTCCATCCCCTTCCTGTTGTGGAGCTCTACAGTGAGATCCTGACTCTTCTGCAATGAATTTCAAGGTTTAAACTGAGGCAGAATCCCAGTTTTCCCTCATTTTTAAGGGTTTAAATTGAGAGGAACCTATTAATGTGCCACTGTAAGAGTTACATGAAGGAGGACCTTCCATTTTAAGGGGTAAAAATGTTCATATATGCATTGAGGCATAACAGAGCACTCTCCAGCAGCCTGGTCAAGTGGAAAGTGTCCCTGCCCATGGCTCAAAAGCCCCATCCAATCTGGTTATGAACAATCTCATCATTTGATTAATGAGACTGCACTGGCTGCTGCTTACAGACCAGGAATTCTTCCTGCCTTTTGTCCTGGAGCCTACTGACCAGAGGGTGAAAAACATGTCTAGAATGAACTTCACAGAAACCTGGTTTTGTGACCACCATGCCATTGTGACTGACTTGTTACTGAGGAGGGCACTGCAGATGCTGCAGCACAGAGCTGAGCTTGTGCCAGTGGCAGTAGAAAACGCTGCCTTATGAGGGGGTGCTGCAGTTCAGTCTTTTAGGAAAATGTTTCTGAAGTATTGCTTTTGGGTCAAGCTGAGATTCTTTAGAGGTAGTGTAGGGTTCCATACACTTTTATAGATTTTAGCCACACTGAAAGATCTGAGCTTAAAACTGCAGAGCAGCTCAGCTCAGTGCAAAGCTGCTTCAAACATGCCTGGGGACATGTTGGTGCTACCCGGAGTGCTCTGTCCAGCTCTGTGTTCTGTGTGCAGGAAGGGACACTTAAAAAGACTAATTTCCCAGCTCAAGCAAGAGTAAAACACACAAAATAGCCTATCTGTTAGTTCTGAGAGGAAGATGAGTTGTAATTTTGAGTTACTAAAAACCAATATTAGAAGTGAAGAATTAAGTTGTGTGAAGTCACAGAAGTGTGTCTGTAGAAGTGTGTGTTATTAAAGCAGATGTTCAGGGAAGCTGGAAGATTTCTGGCATTTCAGGGTTTGCCCAGCATTCACAGCTCGCCTGAATTGAAAAAGAAAAGAATGTTGCAACTTCATTCCATACATTTTTCCTCTCATTAGGACCCCGCTTATCCCAGCAGAGCACTAAGCTACAGCTACACTGGCTATGCTCTGGCACCCAGACTGTGTCATGGGATGGCAATTTTGGAGGTTCTCACCCATTTTTCAGTAGAAGAAGCAGAAACTTCTGGATGTGACTGCAGTAAGCCTGCTGCATCTGCTGGCTGCATTGCTGCTTCTCTTTAAATATTCCAGAGTGGATCTGGAAAGTTAAACTCATATCCACAAAGAAGTTTGGGATTTAACAATTAATTTGAATTGAACTCATTTTTAGCCAAATTCCCTCTGTCGTCTTAACTGGAGTAGGAGTACTCCAGGAAGTCCCATTTTTTAAACTATGAAAACTGATCTTTTTAGATGAGTCTGCATTTTGAAAAAAACTGTTAAGCTTTTACAAGATTTCTTTTGTTTGTTTTTCACTCCATCTTCTCTATATGCAACCAACAGTGTACTTAATGGTATACTTAGAAACTATTCTGGGGTCTGAATGTCTCTCCTCCTTTTTAATCTCTTTTTATTGTTAATATTAATTAAATTCCACATTTTAGAATATGCGTTGAAAAATTTTCAGTCTTTCACAATTAAGTTTGTTTTTTGGGTTTTTTTGCAAAGCTGTTTGCAGCATTCCTTCCACAAAGGAAGCATTTCAGTAATTACATCACTGATTGGAACTTTGTAAAACTTTGTTCTATGGGCATATTTCCCTCTAATCTCAGCAGAGGAAAGAGGCATTCCTGTCTAGCTCTGCTGTCCAAAACTCTTGCCTTTCTCTAGTTTTCACCTTTTCAAAATCCTAAGCAAATGTCAGAAATCTGTGGTATTTGCTTTCCGCAAACACAGAGCACAGTAACATGTCTAGTTCATCAAAACTCAGGATTTCACAGCTGAGAGCTCACAACTAAGATGAGAAATGATGAAAATCGTAGCTTAAAACGTACTAAGACACAAAGTTTTATATCCTCCCTGCACCATTTTCACAGCACAGGCCCTTGGTGCCTCTGGGTGCAGCCGTGCACTCCGGGTGCGCGGCTGTTGCTGGCACGTTCTGCCGGGTGCCGGGGATGGCAGGAACAAGGAAATGACTAAAGGAAATCAACAGCCACTATTTGTGCAAAACACGCCAGAGGGGTTTCCGGCACCCCTTGTTTCCCAGGATAACTGCAGAAGGCAAGGCCGCTGTTTGCTACGCAGTGTGCCTGATGGTGGTTGGCTACACTTTGGTTTGTGAAAGTGATCTCTTGTCACTTGAGTCCAGTTTTCTCTTTGTGGGTGCCACCAAATACACAGATCGTGTCCAAATTCTGATGAGGGCTGGGGGGCTGCCAGGACTCCACAGCCTTGAAGCAGAATTGAATTACTTTGTAATTTGAATTTTGCTGCTCTTTTCCCTAGAAGAGGTGAACTCATTAATCTCAGGCTAGAAACAGGAGTTAAGAGGTCTCTCAGTTCTCTTATGCAGCAGTTAGGGCTCAGGTGGCTCAAAGCATCTGCCCAAAAGGGAAAGACCTTGAAAGGCGGAGCCTCTCACCTTTGGAACCCCAGTAGCTTTTTTATCCCAGTGAATCATAAGGGCTGAACCTTTTTTCATTTCCATTCTGTACCTTGTACAGGGCTGTAAAACCTGGTACTATGAGGGAGAGATGATGTATTCATCCTTTTCCCAGAGTAACAGTGCAAAACATTCTTCAGTACTTTTATCCAATGTTAGCAAAAGCAAAGGCAAACTTGAAAGCCCAGAGGGAAAGAGGGTCTGGGCTCCGGTGCATCAGCGAGTGCTACACACACTACAGGTTGCCCCTTCAAGCCCCTCTGCAGAGCCCCGCTTGTCTGAAAGCAAAAAAAGTGGGATTTTAGTCTTATAATTAATTTTAATAATTACCAACCCCAACTATTCATTCACCCTTTTTTGGCAATTTATTATTTTTGTGAGCTTATGACTACAACCTATTTAATACATATTTAGGTGCTCTGAAAGAATACAATTGAAATGGAAAATGAATTGAAATCCAGTGTTTACTGAAGAAGTTAACCCTGCTCTTCTATCCACATGGAGTTTCCAGGCTGGCATTGCAGAACTCCCTCCAAGGCCAGGGAAGCTGCAGAGCCACTTTCAAACAGCACTTTTCCAAATGCTCTGCTCCACTTACTGAGTAGCCAGTGCACAGCTAATCCCATGCTAATAGCACGAAGGTATCATAAGCATTACTAAAGTTATTACAGCAATTATAATGTCACTGCTGAACAGTTGACTAGGTTAAGGGTTGAAGTCTGTCAGTGCTTTATAATATTTTTAATTCTAAGAAGAGAATAGGCACATTATTAAATAATTAACTGACTTAGTTTTGGAACACCCAAGTTTGTTCCCAGCTTTTTACACGTAAAACATCACTTGCAGTGCTTAGCAAGTCTTTAAAACAAAAAGCCATATAAAATTTTCATATGGCCAAAGCAGCAAATAGATTAGTAACTTGTGTAAAAATTACTACCAATGCATAAATAAAGCTGTTGCAGTTGGCAGGGGAGCACCATGGATTCTCTGAATGACAGTGAAGTGCATCCCCTGTGGCACCCAAGCTGCAGGAAGACGGGCAACAGTCGATAGTTACTATAAAATTTTAAAAGAGCAGCAATTTACAGCATTTTTGTGCAGTGCAAGTCCCGAACTACAACACTGCTCAGCTTTAACAAGCAGGTTATGTGTGGTGTAAGTGTGGCTGAATGAATCCAACAAGTCCTGTTACAATCAGCTTCAACGAGGTGATTTATTTCAGTCAGAAACCAATGCCAGGACAAAACATTTCACTGCCCCCACCCCTATCACCACAGCAGGCTTTACCAGACAGAAGTTAACAGAGTTTTATTTTCCTAAATCCCAGTGGAAGACCCCAGATGTAGGAGGCTCCTCTCATTACATCCAGCAGTGGCAAAGCAGCAGATCTCAGCTGATCTGAACTGGACCAAGTATGAGCAGAGATGGTGACAGGGCACACATTACAACACACCTGAGCTGTGTGTAGATTTT